GCTTTGTTGACAAGATTTAAATCGTTGGCGTTGCTTCTTAATATTCTAAGGGGACAAACACGGTTTGCATTAAAATTTTGGTGTCTTCCTCCTATTCCCACTTTTTAAAAATACTATTCCTTCTATTCCCACATGCAAATAACAATAGATGTTTTGATTAATAATTTGTTTTTATAACAATCAAGGTTAATTAGAATTTCACCTAAGATTTACCTGTATTTTTTTTTAAACATAACATATATGGTACACTGTTTATGTATAATACCTAGTTTATTTCTTTTTTCGTCAAAGATATATTTAAAAATAAAGAATAATTATGATAAATAGATTGGAGTAAGATTTATTTTTAAATTTTTGAATTTATAACCTTAAAGAATTGTCTGCTGTACAAATAAATCATGATATAAAATAATATTATAACCAAGTATAATCTTAAGATGTGGAACAAAAGTATACTCTAAAAATATAAGTACTTGGACCAATAATCAAAGATGTAAAATAATGGGTGAAAACTGTTAACTTTACTTTAAAGCTTGAGCAATCAGATTTGATTAATTTTAATTGACTGAGTTAGAGTTTGGTGATGCAGCCTCCCACCTTGTTCACGTGGAATAGATTGATAAACTTTAATAGACTTGTATACAGTGATTGTCTAATGTATGTGCTAGAATGTGTGATTTGATTTAGTGCTGTTGTATAATTTGTGTTATATTATGCTTGCTTGAATCTACAGTTGAATTTGTGTTATAAAAGAAATTATATATTTTAATTTCTTTCATATTTATTTTGTTTAAAAAAAAACAGAATTCATACAGATGCAAAAATAACTTATTACCTGTCCTAATAAAAAAAAACACTGGTCAATTAACAGTTGATTAAAAAATCTTTGTACAGTATAATCCTTTGTTTGCACAAGTTTTCCCCCTATTCCCACATGAAATATAAACTTTTCTTACCAGATTTATAAAAAGTGGGAATAGAGGGAATGTATGTTTTTCATTTTAAGATAAACACTATTTATAGATATTGTTTTTTCGTGTTATTTGCTAATTGTATAAATCAATGGTCATCCCTTGGACTTCGACCGTCCGGCAGAAAACCCTTGCTTAAGTTGGCGTCCGTTTGTTTGTGCGGGATGTGTAAATACGCAGCCACATCCAGTCAGATCTGAAATGGGGAATTTAACTTCGATGCTGTGTGTGTATAGAGAGAGGGTGTCACGTTCTTTGCAAGTTAAAGAAACCTTAAACACTTCGAGGGATTTGTTTGTGGCTTGCTGCAAGCGAAATTTCTGCCCCTTATCCAACCACCTCATTTTACAGTAGCAGTCGAAATTCTCTTCCTTATTCCCGATTGATCCAGTTTGCAGAACCACCTAACTATTGCATTGGATTCACCTTATCCGACCGTTCTACAGTCTGGTTGTTCGTCCAACAATGATTTTCGTCACCTTTTTTCTAAATAAACTGCATAATAAAATGACTTAATATTTGGTCAGCAGCTTGACAGTGATTGTAACAAGTGAGCACTTTTGGGATCTTTCAAATACTTTCTTTCGGTTTGATTTATTGAATATTTTGAATGAACTTGATGATTTGTAACGTGTGAGCGCTTTTTGGAACTGGGGATGTTAGATCTGATGTCCCGTGTATAAAGAGTGCCACGCTCTCTGTACGTTTAAGAACCCTTGCAAAAACTCTTTCTAGAAGTCCGTTGGTAGTCTATTGCAAAGAAATACACATCAAACATACCACAATTTTCCAGTAGCAGTCAAAATTCGCGCCTTGCATACCGGTCGTCCTAATTTACAGAACCTTTCTATTAGATATATTGTTCAGATGTTCTCGTCCTGAATATTCATGAAATAGTTCCCATTAGATGAAACACTTGATAGACACATGTCTATTGTCGATAACTGTATGTTGACTTCTATATGTCTTGGTTTTTTTCATGTCGGTGGGTTGGAAATCATAGACGTAAACCTTGCATATCCTTTTATTCATGTAATAGGACTTTTTGGACTTTTCATGTGATAGTAGGTTTTACTCATAATATGACTTTTCGGAACTTTCATGAACTATAAGGATCTCTTACCAGACCTGGTCATACCCAATCATGCCTTTTTCTACTGACTTAGGGTCTCAATTCTATTAAATTTCTCATTAACCCTAGACGTCTTGTAATTATAATTCTGTTTAAAAAGATTCATGTACACATTATCTATATAACCTTTTCAAAGCAATTTTAAATCAATTAAGAACAAAACTGTATATTATATACTTAAATTATACAAAATGTATTACAAGGTGACCATCATTTAAAGGTATAACGATTGATCATATTTTTAAAATAAATATTTTGACCTAAAGTTACTCGATCGTTTTAATACTAGTATAAACATTATTAACATTCATAAAAATCTACGCAAGAATTAATAGGCGTCAGTCTAATCGACCTACTGATAAAGTTGCTGTTTTTTTAAACAGGTCATATAGCCCTTAGTCTGCTGGAAAGAAAGAAAATAACATTGGACATATTCTTTGTATGAGTTATTTAAAGATATTCCTTATAATACATAATAATAAAAATAAAGATAAATGCGTACAACACACACACATGCCCCCTCAAGAAGCCTTATCGCAAAAGAGTCAGTTAACCGGAAAGAAACACAAGCTTGATCTGTAAGATAACATTAAACACTAATGTATATAAATCAGCTCCAGATTTGCAAACATGAACAAAAAATTCGGACGACTTTACTGTGTCAATGAAATCTGAATCCAAGGGCCGTAATTCCACCAAAAGTCGGAAAACCGGATCGAAATTCAAATGAACATTTTATCTGTAAGCCAACATATTTTCAAGCAAATATTAAATATATAAAAAATAAGTTTCAAACTATAGTGTTGGTTGTCTTTTGGTCCTTTCCTTTCTTCCATGGCGTTGTCAGTTTATTTTTGACTTATGAGTTTGATGTCCCATTAGTATCTTTGGCCTCATTTTTTCAGTTTTGGAGCCAATACAAAAGAATATTCTGGACAAGTAACATTTCAATAAAAGTTCTGAGTCCAAGGACCGTAATTCTATCAAAAGTCAATCATGACACACTATTAAACAAAAGATCAGATCAATATCTGAAGGCATAAAGAAAAGGTATGGACACAACTATTTGATTGCATGATCAGAAGCACGGACATGTGTAACAAGCACTAAAATCCCCTGTGCATAAAAATATATCAACACAGACGCACATTGATTTATTATTAGTGACTTTTGACAATCACAGGGTAAAGTTAGTATTTTTAAGTAATCGACCCTTTCACTTTTATCTCGGTCATTGAAATAGCGAAAAGGGGATACCAATAGAGAGGGGAAAGATACCAAACGTACATTCAAACTCATAAGTCGAAAATAAACTGAAATTGCCATGGTAAAAAAAGGAATATGACCAAAAGACAAACAACAGAACACAAATCACAACATAGAAAACTAAAGACTGCATGTGAGCAACACGAAACCCACAAAAACTGGGGTGATCTCAGGTTCTCCAGAAGGTTAAGTAGATCCTGCTCAACACGTGGCACCCGTTTTTTGCTCATGTAAGTACAAACCCGGTGATAAGTCTAATTGAGTAGGTCACATTCGGGGAAAAAGGACGGGATTGTGTTTCAACAATTGGGACATATCCGTCGTTATCTGTGAAACAGATATATATTCCATAACGGTCAACCAACTCGTGATGGCGTTCGTAAAATACACCACTTGGAACTCTTGGTTTAATAGCTTCCTTTGTGAGCAGCAGCTCTCTATCAAGGAAATCAGGAAAGGAAATACAAGCCCTTGAATATCGTACAAACTGGGTGCAATCAACAAGGGTGTAATCAACAAGGGTGCAATCAAAACAATAAAACAAAGAAAAACAGACAGCAACATGACCAAAAGAAAAAGAATGTATATACAAAGAACAATACACAAATCCCTACCCTGAAAAACTAAAACCTTAACAAAATCCGAGGATGACATTCATTGTGTTTATCATTCCAAGTAAACTACTTGAACCTATGTTGTTTCGTTTGCTAAACTGATATAATTTAAAAGATCATTGTGAATGGATCATTGTGTGATTATGTACTAGTGCTACTGGTTTCAATTCTGTTAAATAACCATTAATAAATCAATTCAACAATCGGTTTTCAAGACAAGCTATAAATTATTTCTTAAATGAAAATAACACTTTCTAAATTTCTTGCATCCTAAGTGCTGTCCTGAATTACCTTCACTAGAAACGCTTAAACCTGTACATTTGACAGCCAGGGATGCATAAATACCTTTCAACATTTAGAGTTATATTATCAAATTTTCGAACCTAACACTAAAATTATAATGCATCTACAGTCAACTTTGCCGGAGGGATTTAAAACGTTAGTTTCCTAATAATTTAAGGATCCAATGTGACTAAGGTTAGGTTCAACACCAACAGTAGTTTTTGTATTACACAAGATCATCAGAGCAACTACTTATGCAAATGTTGATCTTCCGATGAAATATATTTTGATCCAACTTGCATAATGATAACAATAAAATTAGGATTATTGTAAAACAACTTATTTTCGCGGATACCTTATTTCGCGTTGAACCCTTCTTAGTCCACTTCGCGACTATTTAATTTCGCGATTTTCTAATTTACTTGATGTAGTTTAATAAGGAAAGATCAAAGGTTTACATATTCGCGACGATTTATATTCGCGTTATTTTTCTACTCGCGAAAGTCGCGAATATAAATCGCTCGCGAAAATTAGTTGGTTTGCAGTATTATGTTTTCCCCAGAAACAAATCAGAACAGCAGGACATTATTTTTGCAGATAAACACATTGGATAAGGTTTGGTCATATATAGTTTATATCGAATGATTCTGAAGAAATTTTCGTGAAATAAATTCACTTGTAATATAAATGTATTGTCATATCTTAAAGCTTACACAAAAACAAAATAATAAAGTCTTGTAATATAAATAAATTTATTGTTCAGCTCTTAGAGCTTACACACAAACAAAATATAAAGTCTTGTAATATAAATAAATGTATTGTTCAGCTCTTAGAGCTTACACACAGCTTTCTTACTAGAAAGGATATGTTTTTTCACAACTTATATCAATCAAATAATTTACATATATATAATAAATAAATGCACAATTATCCACATATATTAATTATTATTAATCACAGTAGTATACAATCCTCAAAAAAATATTAACAAAAAAAAACATCTTGAAGATTAAGAGACAGAAAGGAACACTTGGTCTTAAAAAAACAAATATTATACAGAACTAATGTGCAACACAATAATGGAATGTAAAAAGGATAAAGATGAATATAGAAATTGAAATTAGTTGTACATTCATTGCTAAGACTTCAGGTAAAACTATAATTATATCAATAAAAAAGTATGATAAATGCATACTTAAGGGAATTCTACAAATACTCATACATGTAACACCATTCATTAATGATTTTACAACTTTTTTGCTTTATTTCTATGTTTTTTTCGCCTGTTACGTTTACGTTGACATTTTCTTTTTGTATTCGATTTCTTATTTTGGCAACCTCTTATTTTGTGTTTTGCCTGTTTCGTCTTTCTACGTCTTCGACATTTGGTCTCATTTCCTTCCTTATTAACCTGACAGAGAATATCTTTGTGAATACTAGATATAATACTTTTCAGTCGACTCAAAGAATGTAGAGAATTATTCATTTCTTGAGGTGTGGGCATTATCTGCTTTTCTTTTTGTACTTCATTGCAAGCAGATCTAGACAGTTTTCGTTCAACCCGTTTACACCTTTTCGGTTTTTTACATATACCCATCAATATCAACCTGAAATAGCACAACACTCTTTTTCCATTAATAGCAATGGCGTCTGTATTTAATGTAGGACTATACATCGCACTTTCTTCGATATTTTTGACTGCAGTGGATATTTTGTTGTAAGCACATGTCATCCATTTCAACTGAAAACATAAACAAATTATTTTTGTTAAAGTCTATTAGTCGAGTGTCACAATTGCCGTCAAATATGATCAAAGGTCAAAGTTCAAAATGTCAGCACGAGAAACACGTTCTAGCTTCAAAATAAATAAAAGTTAAGTAAAAGCAGTTAAATTGGTTTAAAACTAAATCTTTGATATTTTAATATCATTTATGAATTTCTATCATATTTATTGCAATTAAAACAGACAAACTTTGCAGCTTATACAGTTTTCCAAAACACCGCATTAAAAATTGAAATGCAGTCCATATCAGGCTGAACACGACAATAAGAATTTTTATACACAATCAAAAATGAAAACAACACTATAAATTTCATGCGTCCGAATCAAATCTGAATGAAAACAATACGAACGGAATTTCCACTAACAGCGATGAATGAATAATTCATTTACAAATAGAATATGACTGCCAGAACAAACAATCTTTATTATAATTGTTAAATTGACGCTAAACATGAGATTTATGTTAAAAATATCGACAGACACAAATATAGTACAAAAAATATTTCAAGTTATTTTACATCGGTAAACCTGTTCCGTGGAGGTTTTTTTCCCCCAAATAGTCATTAAATAAATAATATATGATTAAAATAGTAAATAATGCTAAGACCTTTTCATACATAAATATTTATGCAAAAAAAATGAAAATATCAATATAACTTCTATGCATCCGAGGCGCTTTTCTGGATTTACCTTCATCCGGAACGCTCTAAGCCAAATATTTGAAAGCCAAGGATGTATAAGAACCTTAACAGTTGAAGAGCTACATGACCAAAAGGACTTTAAAATAATATCCACGTCCATCTAAAGTCAACTTTGCTTGAGGGAGTTAAAATTTTAGTTTTTAAATAATTTATAAATTTATAAACGGACAAATTACAGCGACGGGTTAGCAAATAATTTTAACCATCTCCCACGCGCGTCTGGCGTAAATTTGTTTAATCCTGGTATATATGATGAGTTTAACTATATATCATTTTGACAGATAGATCAGACCACAGACTACTCGAAAGGAAGTTAGAAAGTCAAATATATTGTTCCCAGTTGCACACGAGTAAAGAACCGCATCCTCAGTAGTAGTCGGCTTGTTTCAAATTATGGAAATGTTGCAGTTAATTGAATTTTTAACCTGTATCGTTTTTAATTATGTTATAGTTGTTCAGCATAACTTATAGAAACAATTGTATATTTTCAACGATAAATATATTTGTACAAGTATATATAAAGACGAAAGCCCCCGCAATTCGGTTAACCTGATAATCCCTTAAAAACTGTACCCAAAATAGCTGTTAAATCGTTCTCTTAGTCATTTAATAGAATAGAGAATGGAAACGGGGAATGTGACAAACACAACAATCCGACCAAAGGGCAAAAAATAGCCCAAGGTCACCAATGGGTTTTCAATACGATTTTCTAATTGCAATGGTGGGATTTTTATTTTATTTCACTGTATAAGATAAATATTCTCCGTACTGCAAGTTAAGATATTTTTTTGGATACAAAAAAGTGTAAAAATGAAAAGTCAGGAACACAATGAAAAAATAACATATGTTCCACATGTTGACATGATTCTTCCAAAATTAGAACCACCACTTTCATTAAACCAACAAAGTATTTGGATGTGTAATCAAAGGTAAATGTCAAGTATATAACGAAACGTTTTAGATTATTGACCCATGTTAGTCCTTGGTGTTAAGTTAAAGTAAATATTGCATGGGGAATGTTTAATTTTATCTGAAGAGTCCGAAGAGCACTTGAAGCCAAACATTTTATATTACATCTGTCGAATTTAAAGTTAAGATCACGTTGACAAAGTTAGTGATTTTAACCACTTCATATGTAAACAACAATGAATTTGCAAGAAATATTTCAATTTTGTATATACTGTCTGTTTTATAAAATACAACATCGCAGGTCCGTATCTGAATTGAATAAGCATCTTATTTTTGGCGAGGACTTTTAGTATAAGTATTGTCTTCTGATGAAGTCAATCAGTAAATTTGGAGAACAGTTTTCTCTGCGTGCCATCGCTTTCTGTCTTAACCCGTCCTTGTTTTCTTACTTGTTTTTTTCGTATAGTAATTTTCCCGTGATGACGTGTGTCAGGATGGAATAGAAATCGCTTATCCCTCAGGAGAATCTCATGTTGTCTATAGTTTTTGTGGTGCACATTGCCAGTGCCTATTGTTATGCTTTAAGTCTCTAAAGAAAGTGCGGCGATATTATAATAGGTATATCTGTCCATAATTAATAACTTCTTGTTCATTGTATTGCACTTTCGGCAATAGCAGGGTTACATTTAGTAATCACTATGTACGTCCGCCGTCCCCTATTATCTACAACGCCGCCTTAGCTTGAAATAATTTTTAGGTTTTAACCCAGAGCACTACCACCCCTCCCTTTTACATGCTATAGATTTGCACTTGACAAATAATGCTTTGGACTTTTGTTGTTTATCACGTTGAATTGTTTAGTTGCATGCAGCTGTGAATTGACATTCCTGTTCAGCGTTATAAGAAATGAGATACAAATGTAGGGTTGTTTACGAAAATCTAGATCTACCCCAAAAAGTCATTTTGTGAATTCATTTAGGATGAGAAATATTGTAGTACTGACGTGTATATAGTACGTACATTCATGTAATTTGTTTGCCGAATTATTCCCAGTAGATAAAAAAATCCTTAGGGAGGATAATACGCTATAGGTTTATACCACCTGTAGGCTAGAGGGTCATATTTGATTGATTTGATTTAGTATGATAGGTTGGTTCATTTGACTTGATTGTTTTAATATAGTTATGAATATCCCTTAACTGCAATAGTTAGAAACCTGTTCAAGAAGGTAACATTTAATGAACTCACCTTTTTCCTAGGATGGGGACAGTTTAGTTCTCGAATATCGTCCCGTAGGTCCACTGTTTGAAATTGTATCTGTAAGTAAAATACATTTATGATAGAGGTCTCATCTTTAAACAATTGGATACTCCTGAGGTTAATACATTTCATATTAAATAATTAGGTTTATGCAAGTGATTTTGTTTAAAATTGAAAATCAGAATTTCCAATTTAACATACGTATTGGTATAAATAAATAATGTACTATAGAAGATATAAGGATGCATTTTTTTTTATTAAAACGGGAATCGAAAATAAGGAAAATAAGCGTGAATGAATGATTGAATGATTAGTGACAGCTTAACACCAATGTGCAAAACTTACTTACATTTTTTCACATACTACTACGAAATATGAATGTACCCTACTGAGTACTAAATCGACAAACCAAGTCGGATTTTAAACGGTATCTCAAAAGTCCAATGCAATAGGAAGATATGTGACCCTACCTTGAGTTTTTGCTCTACCTCCTTAATATCACATTCTTGGCAGCGAATGCCAATTTAAAAGTTGTTCGTATGACTGAACTCGCAACTTTCGACACTCATTCCAAGCACGAATAATTGGTTCAGTTTTTTATTCAAATAAATGGTAGTCGCAACGAGTTCATTGCCATCAAGATGAACTTTAAGAAACTGTCTTCAAATAATGCAGTAAAAGCAGTCAGTCTGAATGCATTCATATGATATATGCAATTTTTAATTTATAAACAAAATACTACTAGTAAATCTATTACATCAACAGCATGGCCAGATTGCTTTAAACTCGCAAGGTCAGCATTCAAATTAATATATGCATAGCCGCCAACGTGCCACGAGCAAATTAAAAAAACATACCTCAATATAGTTTCATATTGGACGCGTCCTTTAAGTTATTCCCCTAAATTAATAGACTCACCACTAAGCGGTCATCAACATAACCGAAAGACAAAATTGAAATGAGTTGCTTGTATATATATTTATTTTGCTGTGTTTTCTCATTTTAATTTTTTATATCTTGATTATATGCAAAACCCTTAAAAGGTCATCAAAATCATAATCAAAGTACACCCATTCCAACGAACAATCAACTTACAGCTTCGATCTGATGAATTATCTAAATATTACTTATCTTTAATTGTGTATGCAGTTTTTGTCTTTTTATTATAGCTTTCAAGACAATAGTCAAAACTGCTTCTATTTGCCAGAAAATATTTATCAAAGGGCAATAACTCTTATAAGAAATCGCCTGATAATTTTGATAGGATTAATTTGTTGATCTTGGTATTCTAAGCAATTTTGCTCATTCAAATTCCTTCCTCTTTAACTTGCCTGCAGTTTACCCTCATGTTAAATGTTTAGCCAAAGTTGCTATATTGGTTGGTTGACATTTCAAAAAAATAAAAATCCGACTTTATAATACATAGACTGAGGATTATTCAGGCCAAGTTTCAAAGAAGATGGCTGAAAAAAATATGACAACAACGGATGTCAGAAAATGAAAATAACCATTTATAAATTTTGTGCTTCCGAAGCGCGTTTCTGTTCAGTTTGTCCGTTGATGGTTAGCTAAGCTATAAGTGATCATAAAATATAAACACAAGTAAAAATGTTTTGAAATATCTTGGAGACCTACAACTTGTACTGATGTAATTTAAAAACACATAATAATATTTTTTTTGCTGTTAAATTTTGTGTTGAATCATTCCCTATTGTCAAGTAATAATGACAAGTTGAATTGATATACATAGTGTGTTATGTCTTGGACAGGTTTCAAATAAAACCTTTTGGGAAAAGATTGTAAGTAGTTATATTAATACATATAGGAAGAAGGTGAGTGTTGTTCGAAAGAACACACTCCTAGATGGAAGAGAATTCCAGCTGTCTCTATAGCTAGGACTGAAAGATATCCTGTTAATAAGAAAGTTTTTTTTAGTATTAGCTTTGCAAACTATGACTAGCAGTATAAGAAAGTTATCTAGAGTTACAGAAACTAGCATTGAAAGAAAGGAAACGTCATGGAGTTATACAGGTGGATTAATGAGAATAATGTTGTAAAGGTTAGTTTGTGAATAGCATATTTACAAGACTGTTTAGTAAAAGAATAGTGTTACTGATACAGAAATATGTTCAGCAAATTTTAAACACTTACCATGATACTGCTGATTACATTTTATTTCTAGAAAATAGCAGTCAACCTTTGTTAAGATTCGGTGTCACATCAAATATTTCAAATGGCAGCAACATCATTTGTTAAAATATGGAACTATTATTTAATTTGTAGGTTGCAAGATCATTGGTTAAAATATGGAACTATTATTTAATATATATACTTAAAAACTTGTAAATCTTTGAGTTTTCATGAAGTTGGTAACTATGTTTTTATCAATGGTATAATGTTGGCGATTTTGTCCTTTAGTTTTAATAAAATGTGGACAAACTTGCACCTTACAATTACAGTTACATTATAGTAGCTAATTGCCTAGTATCTGCTGCTAATCATGGTCGAAAATAATAAAATTTTAACATTTTCAAACTGTAGAAAAAAGAAAAAGGCGAGGCTCGCAGATTTTTATCCTGATATTTTGTAGCAAGTACAAATAAACTCATTCCTGCAAAAAACAAACTGTTATGTTTACACTAATTTGAGTATAACCGTCTACCGTCTGTTCAAAATCGAAGTGGAGTGCCAGGAGAAGATACGAAGGGAGACGGAATGCGAATATCAAATAAGTTACATTTCTACACCCTTATATTTGTTTAGTAAAATGACAGATTACTGTAGAAACCGATATTTTCTTAACGTTTACAATAAAATGATTGATCTTAATTTTCTACAATTATTCCTTTTCGTATGTCCTGACATGGTTATTAAAAGGACCTTTATACTAGGGACGACTTGACCAAAAACATACCTCTTGATTATAAGTTGAGTTCAGCACGACAAAGAAATTTTTCAGCTCGTTCAAAACTAGAAAGTAAAACTGTGAAATGTCCGTAAATGCTTTATTTGCTGAAGTACTCGTAAGTTGCCCTTTTGACAAACATGGATCGCATTTGTTTGCAGATGATGTCGCAATTAAATGTAAACCGATCATTAAAGTTGCTATAATATAACCACTTGAAGCTGTTCCTGAAACGAAAACGAGTTATTAGTAAATAGCAATTCGCTTGAAATATGTTAACCTTTCCGTTCTATGTGGGAAAAAAAAATTAAATCTTCACTCTTTTTTCCAATTAGGCTTACTTTCGAAAACCATTTTTCTATTTTTCTGTTTTTCATACAATCTAGTGACAAAATGTAACAAAAATGTACCTTTCATATCTTAAACTGTTCTTTTACTCAAATGTAGTAATGTAATCTTGTGTTTGATGTCGAAGAATGATTTAGATTGAAAAAAATACTTTATATCATAAAAGTAAGTGGATTTCTTATTATTTTGTCTTGCATTTTCAAAACAGTTTTTAACCAATCAAAACACAAAAAAAAGTAACTCTCAGATCGTAACAATAAGAAAGCAGGTATTTTAACGACTATATATAGACAGCTGGGCTTTATTCTATTCTTAAAATAGCGAAGGCGATTACCATAATCAATATAGAACATTTGCTACATATTCAATGCGTGTAGTATATATATACATAAATTTATTTCATTGGAAGCGGCTATAATCATTGATGTAATAACTTGAAACAAACAGATGTTTTACTAATTATCTAATTTAAACACCGTGAAATTATTTGTCGGCATTTCCGTATATAAATTGCATATTATCAGAAGTCTATTTCTAGGGTAATGGACTTATGATATTATTCAATATAACTGTATTTCGTATGAAACTGAAAAAGTTACCAGAGGAGGAATAATGGACAGCATTGAAGATTCTTATGGACAGCAATTGTCTAAATGATTATAGGAATAACCACATTCAGGTATAAACCCAAAACAATAATGAACATAATTAAAATATAAAAGTAAAAACTTGTTTTGTTTCTATAAATAGAGTGTTTTTCGTTTTCCCTTTGTCCTGGTAGTGTTTCTTTTCAATGCGATCTCATATTTACTTCCGTCATTTTATTTAGATAATCTGCAAAGAGTATTAAAAAGGTCTGTTAAATAATCATGCAAAACATAGAAGTAAAAGAATGAAATAAAATCAATGCAGCGCTGATCAAAGTCGTTCTTACTCTCTCCAATACTGGAGTTAGAACATGTGAATGACAAAGGTTAGTCTCTCCGTAACAGGAGTGTTACAAATTAGGCAATCAAAAACCATAATAACAGCATCATGGCAACAAAGAAACAAGACAATAGGAAAACCTACAATAACATTCGTGGTGCAATTTGGAAGTTTTTGTTATGGACACCCTCCGCGGTGTTTCTGTATGCAAGACATCGTAATGTTACAAAAATATTTCTAGTAGAAGAATATTTTAATTCCATTTGATCATGTGTCCTTTGTCGTCAAAGACAAGTGAATTATCTTGGTAATTCTATTGCAGAAGCATTGTGCCTTTTTACAGCAACAGTATCCTTAGATTGAAGTTAACAATTGTGTTTCCAAACCTTCGGTTAATCTGTATCCGTAGGCTTTCATATATGACTTTGTTGAATAACACAGCATATTCACCTGAAGAAAAGAAGAAAATTTTAAAGTTGATATTTTCCGCTCTCCAAGTCATGTGATTTTACATGTATAATTATGGTAAAATTTTTGTTGAACAATTGTTTTTGTATATAGTTGTCATAAAATAGTTTTTCTTGGAATATAGAATAAAACAACAACTGTCTTTTTTTGGGTAAAAATATGGCTTAATTTTGTTTTAGACATAACTGTTTTTGGACGGAAAAAGAGAAACTAAAATATACTAAAAAAAATCCTATGACAATTATACGGTTTGCTAGAATATATTCTGTTGACACTGCCTTTAACGGACGCAGCATTGCATTAACACAAAAGACAGTTTTACCTGTTAAAGCTCTACAACTTCGTTCTTGATTTGACCTTTCAACTGTTTTAATTCTAGCGCCAATGACGAGTATTATTTAGGTGAAACACTCATCTGACGGAACATAATTATAAGCCTAGTATATTTGACGAGTTTTTACAAAAAAAACGTAGACTCTTGAATACTAAATAATTATGTAAGTATAAAGCTTCTCTCGTTAAGAATAATATTAAACGTTATATTCGAACCCTACCGTTTACTTTACCTTTCTACTTGAGCGGCAATATCCAACCAATAACCGAAGCTTCCTAAGCAAGTTTTCTGTAGTAGAAAGTGCGTTTTGACACGGCTTTCCAAAATATGCGCCGTTTATTTCTTTTCTAGTTCAAGTAAGTGGTCACACCCTGTTCATGGCTGCACTGTTTTTATTGTCTCTGTTTAAGGTCTACGTATGGGGGGGGGGGGATTGCACGTAAAACGGATTTTATCCCCCCACATGTTGTGCCTTCACTCAAAGTCAGGCAATATGGACTGTTATCATCGTTTAAGTGTCCGTTTTTTCAGAGGATTTGGTTGTTGGTGGTTGATATGGTCTTATGTACTGTGTGTTATTTTTGGCGATTCCGTTCTTACTGTTAAAAAAATGTAAAATCTGTAAAATTTAGATTAAACGAAAGTAATAGAGATACTTATACTAATTATACGTTTAAACATTCAAGCCGCCACACAACTATCTAACACCAAACAAGGAAAACCTTTAAAAAAATAGGAATTTTGTCATCATGGAACCCAAAACTACGCAAAAAATTGGTTGATATCGTTCAAACTTGAGGTGTGTTAGGGTGTATAGTTGCGAAGTGGTGAGTAAATCAAGAATTAAGTAAATGAAACACAACAAGTTCATGATGACTTCTAGGGATACCTGTCAAATCAAGATTCGGGACATTTATTTCCTCGAAATCAATGCTCTTTGCAAAGGCACTTGCATTTTTGTTGTTATTCCAAGCAATCACTGCTGAACTATAACCATAAGCAGCACAAATAGTGTGAGTTGGAGAAATATATCATGAAATTTTGTCAAATCTTTCGGAGCACCTGGCTTAAATATAATGAAAATAATGTTCATTGATTTGTATTTTCAAAACTGCTGTGCAATCGAATTAAAGTTTTTTTGGGTTTGTACCAGTAAGACAGTAAGTAAATGTATGTTTATATACAGAAAATTGGAGTTATTTTAGAGATAGTGTTCTAAAAGTATTCATGTTTATGATGAACTTGAATACAAAAATACTTCCTTAACGCAATGATTTTACCGTGTCATTTTCAAGGTATTACTACAGGAAAAATGCCGGTTCAAAAAACCAATTTTGAAAAGATGTTGAAAATCTTTAGAATAGATCTGCGAACAATAAAAAATACCTATACTTTAGTTGGAAATGCCTTAATGAATATAGAGGTTGTTGCCCTTTGAATGTCATTTTAATTTTGGTTGGCGTTTTTCATAAAGACTGAATTAAATTGAACCAAATTTTCTTCAGACACGACGGTTATTATTTTGCTACATACAGCAGTTAAAACTATATCCCAGATCCCTACCCTTGAAGTCACAATCAGCTTAACAACTTAAAGTTGTAAGATGTGATCTCTTGATTTCTATATAATTTGTTTAAATGATTTATTTGGTCTCTTATTATCAAAATGAATAATGGTAATGATTTTATATGAGAACCCGCTATTTTACTTTATTTAATATAAAACACTATTCCTTAGACTTTACTTCACTATACAGTCATGTATGTATTGTGTTTGTTTTCTTATATTTTGTAATATAGTTGCTTGTAAATGTTCTGCATTGATTTTGACAATTAAAATGATTGCTTTGATTTGTATATAGAAATAGGCTGCAACTCGGCAAAGTTGACTTTTGTCTATTCTGTTAAAGTCCTTTTGGTTTGATGGTTCAAGATTTATTTTCCCCAACTTTAGAACTAATTATAGCCCTGTCGCGTCTACTGAAATCATTATCATACATCCTGTACGACTGGATCGGTACCACTGCTGGTTGACTCAGTATCCGATGTACAATTAACATAGTAGCCTGTTAAAGAATTTAAACGAACAACTATCATTAAAAATTTCAGTTTATACATCAAGTAAGAGTAATAAACATATTACGATGCAGATTCAGCTGTAATGTTGCTATAAAAAATGGAAACGGCACTATGGGAAAAGCCATCACTTGTCGTTGTTTTTTAGATATCAACCAACCCTGACCATCTTTGTTCTTACGTTTTTTTCGAATTCCGTTGGATAGATGTGATCAACATAGCCAGTCTACTTATTCAGTGAAAGAACATCATCTTTATGGCGGAACGTAAAGTTTATAGACAATGCTAGCTTTTTCATTTTTCATTAGAAGCCCCTGTACGGACCCTCGTGTGAATAAAGAAAAAATCGACGTTAAGAGAAGCACAGTTTTTTCAATATTTTAAAAAATGCCGACTTTCTGTTAGGCGTCTTTTAAGAGAACTCCAAGTTCATTATGATATAGTTCGAAGGGATTTATCCTAACAAATAACCCTGAGGCCTCCCTAAAACAAAATATTGATATAAAGGTATGTTACTCTTTTTAATGAAACAAAACTTATCTATTTTAATTTATATACAAATATAAAACAAGGCAAAAACGACGAAGTACAACTTTAATAGATGTTGCTGTAACCTCCATTTGAAAAGCCTTTACAGTTTCCTTACTTTTCCCCCGCTTTTCTCCTTACGCATAGTTCGTTCGTGCCCTTAGCTCTTATTTCATAAATATTTATAAAAATAGACTGTGTAAATAATATCAATTTTCGAAAGACGATTTTTAAAGTACTGTGGATTAATTTATTTTCGTGGGTATCAATTTTCGTGGGTTCAGGAAACATTGTATTTTTGTGGATATTTGATTTTATGGTTATGCCAAATTCTACATACAAGACCATAGACAATTGATTGAAAAGTCTCTTTTCCGCTATATACATGACGTGCTGTCACTAAATTATTCAAAGTTTCATGACTTAGACGCATCTATTCCATCGAGCTTGAAATAAAGAATACCACAAATAAGTTAAGTCTGCTTCATATTATGACTTGCGTCAAGAAATTGACAATTATAGTCGATTGAGAACTATACTTAACGACAAAAGAGATGACACATCAGCTTTTTAATTGTAAACATTCCAGCAGCACCTACATATGGAGTATAATATATCTCCAAGTTGATACTATATTCCAGATCTTGCATATTATCATTAGTTCCCCCTGAAAGAGGATTGCTGTTTACAAAAAAGATTTTATGATTTGTTGACTATTATTTTGTCCAAGGTTATGGTTGTCTTTATGATATTGTTAAACATCTAACACCCTTGTTTTATTAATTTTGTATTTACATTGTGTCATAGATCAAATTTATTCGTTCAGTGTATGTTCACTTGTTTTTATTAATATTTATGTTCTAATTCGCCAGACTTAAACGAACATAAATTATTTATGCAATAAAACTCAACACATGTATCAGAAATGAGCTCTCCTTGTGAGGGTAGCATACTTTTTATTAACCAATGTATAATATAAATCAAACAGTTCGTTTCAATGTTCATTTTCAGCACATTACGGCTTAATCTCAGTCGTTATTAATTAGGTATAAAAACAGTCATACAGGCTCGATCACAGTCAGCCAACTATTAATACATACAAATATACACCAATCTACAAAACAAGAAATACAACTTAAATAAATCATTATAAGTAAAACATTACTTTCCACATAAAAACAATAGATGGTCTTGATGATGGTGGGGGTGGAGGGGGGGGGGGGGCTTAATACAGGCAAGGCAGTAGTACGGCGTATGCTACTCAGCGTAAGGCAGAACTTCGAATAATAACATTATAAATTACATTTAATTTATATCAAACAGCAAGCACGAGAAACACGAGCCAAAATCATACGATACATAGAATACCTGTTTTAAATTCGCAATGCGACGAATTTCATCCAATGGAATACATTGTAAACATTACACGGGTATTCTAAAAACATGTGTTGATGTAAACAAACACACGTGTTTTACCAAAACATATACATGTGCTTCCGTACTATTATTAAATATATTTATGTTCTAATTCGCCAGACTTAAACGAACATAAATTATTTATGCAATAAAACTCAACACATGTATCAGAAATGAGCTCTCCTTGTGAGGGTAGCATACTTTCGAAAGTAACAAAGAAAGAAAAGGGGGAGGGTCATATGCCAAGGTTTTAGAAACTGTTAATTTTTCTGATATGTTTTCCTGAACATACCCATCTTTTGCAGTTTCAGATGCCCATCTCACATGTTTCTTGAATAACCTGTCATTTATACCAGCAGCGGCTGCAGCCGTCGCACCACCTGCTCTCAAACTGTGTAAACCAAAATTAGATTTTTCTAGACCTAAAGATCCGAGAGCGTCTAACAACAACTCTCTAGCCCTTGTATAAGATAGAGGAGTAATTCCTCTTAAAACATAAGTGTTTGTTTTCTTACGAAAAGTTACTGCTCTCAAAATGAATTCGTTAGAATCGATTGCTATGTTAGCTTGTGATAAATATGTTTGTAACATAGACACCGGACATGTCATAGAACTAGTCTTCGAAATCAACACTCTACTACCTTCTCTGTGTTGGTCAGTCTTACTTTTTTCGATAAATAAAGACATATAAGTAGGAAAAAACTGTATATCTGATCTTTTCAAATTAACAAGTTCGGAAAATCTTAAAAATCCTGCATAACTTGTAAGACACATACAGGCGATTTTTCTATGATTTAAAGTACTGAATTTGTTACCGTATTTTTGTACAATCTGGTACAGAATTTCAGGTGTAATAGGCTCTTTCTTTTTTACAATGTAATGCCCGATTGACCTATGAACTCCTTCTTTAATAGATGTACATAAAAAAGAATTACAAGGATCGGCAAATCCAGCTAGTTTATGTGACCAACTAATTGCATAGTAAGCTCCTTCAACTATAGATGCGGATTTGTGTTTTTTACATAAATGAATCAGGTATAACGAAACATCATAGTCTGATGCTGGTAAAGAATTAAGATTAAATGAATTACACCATCTACAAAAATTGTTAAAGGCGTACCTGTACTTCTTCCGAGTGCTTTCAGCTCTAGAGTGA